TAAATGCCATCACGTCGGTTCCGACCCATAGTGACGCTGTATAGGGTTTCTGAGGAAAAGCTGGTGAGCTTGAACCACCAACCTTGCAGTTCAAACAGCTTTGCAGTCTGGCACATTAACCGACAGTGCCACATCAGGACTAAGTTAGATCTTTTACCATCCTTTTTATAAGTCTCAGTTTGTCAGTGTACTTAATTATTTTCAATCTATCTAACTATTTCAACATGTACTACATTCATCAGAATCAGGTATAACAGTTGTTTAGTGCCATCAAGTTGGTTCCAACTCATAGTGACTCTGTATAGGGTTTCTGAGGAACAGCTTGTGGATTTGAACCACCAGCCTTTCAGTTCTAACCGACTTCAAGTATGTAGGCAGTACAAATTTTTCATTATCTCTCCAAATACTCAGATGCTCCCCACAATAAGCAAACCAGTTATTAGAAGATTATAATATAAAGGAGTCCTGGTGTAGTGCTGTGGGTTAATACATTGGACTGCAAAGTTGATTTGAACGACAAGGTTGACAGTTCAAGATCACCAGCTGCTCCTTGGAAACCCTATACAGGGTAGTTATGGGTCAGAACTGACTCGATGGCACTTAACAACAACAATGCACATAAAAGCAACTGTAATCTGGATGCATGAAGAATGATTAAAATGGAAGACACATGTAAACAATTAGTCCAATGGGCTAATGGACCATGAGAATATCAGTTTCTACAACCTTGAGACCAGAAGAACTAGATGGTGCCTAGCTACCACCAACAACTGCTCTAAAATGGATCATATTAGAAGATCCTGAGTAGAGTCAGAGAAAATGTAGACCAAAACTCAAAATCATAAAAAAGACCAAGCTTACTGGTCTTGGATAAAGACTGGTGGGACCCTAGAGACTATGGCCCTTAAACACTATTCAGGTCCGGAAATGAACTCACCCCCATAGTTCAGTTTTCATTCAAACAATAGACAGGTCTGTAAGGGGAACAATAACATAGTGAAGTCTGTACACCTTAGAATAATCAACCATTTGAGGTCAAAAGGGCAGCATTTATCCAAGACAAAGTTTGGAAGGGCTAGGAATGAAGGAGGAGGAGTGGAAATAGGAAATAACACAGGGGGAAAAGTGAGATCAGTGATGTTACACTGAGAGAACTGTACCAATGAGATGAAACAAAATCTGTGTGAGTTGTTTAATGCAGAACTGATGATCTGCTCTGTAAACTTTCACCCAATTCACAATAAAGATTTTAAAAAATTGTAAAGCATGCAATATATTTGTTTATTCACTTGTCTATGAAATGTTTCTCTGCTATGCATAGAGAAAAAAGCAGAGAAACATTTCATAGACAAGTGAATAAACAAATATATTGCATGCTTTTACAATTTTTTGGAAGAAGTGCAGCCAGAGTGCTCCTTGGAGGCCAGGATGGCTAAGCTTCGTCTCTCCTACTTTGGACATGTAGTCCGGAGGAAACAATC